CTTGTTTTATTAGACTTTGTGACTAGTGAATCAAGTAATTTTGCTAGATAATCTTACTTGGTGTTTGATTATTTTAGCCTAGTTCTTATCTCTTGATCCAAGATCATATCTTTATTTAATTTTTTCCTCAAAAACTCACAAAATCCCTAAAAAATAGATCTTTGTTCTTTTTCATATCAAATGGTACCATGAGGCATGAGCCAAATGCTATTAACCTGTTGATCTAAAAAAGATAAAAAAAAATAAAAAAGAAACCTACTGCCAGATTTTGAACTTCTTGTTGCTAGTTCATTTTCCCTTTATTAACACACCTTCATTATCATATCATCACCATCAACAATAATCATCATCACTGCCTACTAACCCTCATTCAAGGATTTCTTTTGCTGCGAGAACCAAACCGGAACAACTTTCTTCTTCTCTCCATTTTCGAAATCAAGGCACCAATGTTGATTCTCTTTGCCAGAACCACCATCAAAAGCACCACCTTTCTTTGATTTTCGCCTAAAAATTGAAGACCCTCCACAAAATCGAACTCACTCCATTTTCGAACAAGGTTCATATCAGTAGTTCACACGTCGCCCATTCCAGGCCACTGCTAACACCGCTTGTTCGAAGCTCCACCACCAACCACTGTAGATTGTTGATAATCTTGTCTGAAATTCAGATAGACATCAGTTCAAGTGGTCTGTTATTCAATTTTTTATTGGGTTTTAATTGGTTTGCTTGGGTTTCGAATATTCGCTACGTTCATCCACCTTCAACCACAGCTTCGGACACTCTAGTTGAAGGAGCGCTTCGGACACTCTAGTTGAAGGAGCAAGTGCTCCGATAGGTAGAGCAGGCGCTCGTGGGGCAGTGACCGAAATATCGATGATGTTTTGGTAAGTGGTAACCATGTTGAGAAGCTGGTTTTGTCTCGTGGGCTTTTGTATGTTTTGTTGTTAATTTGGGTCATCGTTGATTTCATTGGGGATAGAAAATTTTGATTGGTTTCATTTTGCAAAATCTTGACTGAAATTTAAGAATACTATTGTTGTTTGTCGAGATGTTGCAAGTTGCTGGTATGAGCAATTGTGAAGTCAAACTGGATTTTTTTATAGAAAGGGATAATATTGGCTCCATCTTTGATAACCAAGTTGATTTAATTGGACCCCCGATCTTTGATGAAGAAATTGAATTAGAAGTTCCCTCTCAATTGTTATCTTGCCTTCCATCTCATGTGCCATCATTTAATGTCCTTTATTACAATATGGGAGCAAGTATTAACAAGAGGATATATGAATTCATATCTATGTTGGCTAAACTAAGAATGGTGATTTCAGTTTTAGAGAGTCGAGGAATTGGTCTGGACATTCTAATTGTGCATTCGCTTGGGTGATGATCTTCTTGGTTCCATATTATTCCACTCTTGGATTTGTAGTTTGGGTGTTTGATCCGGAAGGTTTGATAATGATGCTTCTTGGTAAGTAGTGATATTTATTTACCTTCAATAAACGGCTTCTGCATTCGCTTGATCATGTCGGTTTGATATTACCTCTAGGGGTTTGATGCGAGAGCATCGACACTAATTTTGGGCCTTATTCGACTAATCTTGACTTGAATCAAGACCAGAAAATATTTGGGCTTGATTTGAATTATTTGGATGATTTTTCCTCATATGTGGGATGCGACTTATTTTGTATTTATTTTAGTTATTATCTTGTAATTAATCCTAGCCTTACATTTTGCATGGTTTAGATTTAACGAGGCTTAGGGTTTATTTCATGTACTAGTGCCTCCTTAAAAAAGGAGTTATTTTATGATGTAATAGATAGACTTTGTTGAATATTGAAAATATGAGAATTTTTCTCCCTATTGTGTTATTTGTGATCTCTCCTTTGTGTTAAAATATCAATCTTTATCAAACTTTGTGATTGATTAGATTGAAACCCTTATTTCATAAAACTGTGACTAGTGAATCAAGGAATTTTGCTAGATAATCTTACTTGGTGTTTGATTATTTTAGCCGAGTTCTTAGATTTTGATCCAAGATCATATCTTTATTTAATTTTTCCCTCAAAAACTCGCAAAATCCCTAAAAAATAGATCTTTGTTCTTCTTTTTCATATCACTTTCTATCTCCATTTAATACTCACAAATAGATTTTGCCTATGGAGTCTGTGCTACCTCATTTGTTGCAAATAAAACGAAACAAAGGTAGTAAAAGTTATTGATGATCAACACACTCTAGAATTTTACTATCCTAACATTATATTAGCACATACAATTGAAGAATTAGAAAATTGTTGTTTTTCTTATTGAATAATCAAGTATTAGATAAAATTTTATCAAAGAGTTAGATATAGGCGTATTTTATCAAATTCAATGTAATGCGTTACATCATCACTTAGCAAATATAACTGTAAAATATAGGCCATTGCAAATATACTCCCTCTGCCCTATATTGCTTATCCTATTTGCCAAATCTATATGAGTACATTAAAAAGAGAAAAAAGTACATAAAATGTGAGTATGGAACAAATAATAAGTACTTCCTCTGTTCTCTTTTATATGCAAACACTTTGACTTTTACACTATTCATATGCTCCACTTTGATAAGACTTGCTGATTTATAAATAAATAAAAAACATAATCATGTGGGATCTTGTTACATTTGTCTCGGTTTATAGATTATTAATATCAAAATTTTATAATTTTTCCATATTAGTTTATAAGATATTAATGATATCGACAAGCGTGTAATGAGAAGTGTTGCATTTAGAAGAGAACGAGAGAAGTACAAAAAAAATAAAAAGAAAAAAGGACATGAACATGAGTGGGGGCACAGATGAGTTGAGAGAATATGAGGGCATTTTAGGGTTGAGACGTTGGAGTGAATAAAAAAAATAAAGGCAAAATGGTCTTTCATAGTATTCAAAAATAGGACATAATGAAATGGGAAGATTATTTTGTGACACCTAAAATGGAAAATGGGAAAAACAATATGGTACGAAGGGAGTAGTAGTTAAAAAATAAGCGTTCGAAAATTTAACTTTAAAAATATTAATGAGCATAATTATTTAGGAATTAATATATATATATATATATCCCTATCACAACTCACATTCACTCCCCTTGTCTGTAACACTCTTAACTTACATTAATATCACCTTCCTTATCCTAATAAACGCTATGTCAAATGACAATGGCCAAAACATTATTAACGAATACATCAACAACATAAATTCATATGTAGAGTATACTAGCACTTTTGATGTATTAACAAGTATCTGAAATATACACAAGTTGTGTCATCCTCTACCATAAAAATAAGAAAAATGAAAGTCCAAAGACACCGTGAAGAAAGACACCTAAGAATATGGAATTATTAATTCTCCATTAGATGACAAATTTCTGCATAGATTTTGAATGAGGAAAGGGTTGTTCCTTTGAAATGTAAACAATCTACAAGATTATTATAAGTATTTTCAACAAAAATATGATGTCATGGGTAGAAAAGGACTACCCCCCTACAAAAGTGCACAACAACAATAAGAATGTTGGCATATGGGTTTTTTTTTTTTTTTTTTTTTTTTTTGGCAAAGTTGTGTAATAGACTAACCCAAGGAGGGGCAATATGGGTAGTCTAGTACTTTTAGGTTAGTAGTCTTAAGATTTAGTATAAATAGAGAGAGGAGGAAAGGAAGCAGGAGGCAGAATTTTGGAGTGAATCAATTTGAGAGTTAGTGACCTGAGAGAGTTGTAGCCTAAAGCTACTTGTGAGATTGATAGCCTAAGGTTATTTACCCCTTGTCACTAGTTTGCCATTATTTCATATCAAGCTTTCTTCTTAATTCATCTCATTTATATAGTATCTATAAACAGTAAAATCAGTCTATTACATGTCATGGATGATTATGTGCAAATCTCTAAACACGGAATTGATTGCTTAAAAATATTTGCAATTGGAAACAATAAGATATTTAGAAAGCATTATTTGAGAAGCCCCACAATTAACGACATTCAAAACATACTAGAAGCATCGTAACGTTGTCCAGACTTTATGCATTGAAAGTGAGGGAAATTCCAGTAGCATGGCAGGCATGTACACCCAAGGTGATCAAAGTAAACCCACTATGGGAGCTTGCATGCATACTTCAGAGTTCCAGGATCTAAACAATGATATCAATGTGTAGGATTGTTGGCCAATATTTATTGATTTTCTTGTAGGAATTGAAGTTCAATTTAAAGTAGATGGATTTGTATAAAATTGGGTTATTATCTTCTAGATGGGATTTGTTCGGCAGTTTTTGCGAAAACCATTCCTAAGGCAGATTTGGGAGGATTTGGATTTGTTAACAAAGAAGAGGGAATATCAAAAACTTTGGAATTAAAGGATACATCATTAATTGCAACAAGAATTGGTCGACCACTTGTGGGCTCATTTTTGGAAAATGATATTTGAATTAAATTTTGCTTTACTTTATTGTGTTTGTAACTATTATAATGCACTCTTTTTTTTTCTTTTTTTTTTTAAAAAATTTTCATGTGTTTTTTGAGTGATTTAATTTTATGTAATTTCATTAATTTTATTTTTATTTTAATGTATTTCCTAGTTAGCTATTATTTTTCATACATGACAACTAAAAGATATGTAACTTGCAACAATAAAGGAAATAGATAAGGTACATTTTTTAAGGAGTTTGAAATGAGTTTGAGGAATGAAGAGCTAAACTTGTTGAATTTTAAGGAATCTTATCAAAATTTAAGTCTTAGGACCAGGGCTAATCTTTCTCTCACAATTCCACGCTTGATTCTTGGACCATGACCCAAGAATGCCACATGGACCCCAGACTGAGAATTTATAAATTCAAAACGCCTACTCAAAAGGCCATACAAGATCTGTATCCCTCTAGTTATTGTCTTCACATGCTAGGACAGACAATCTGCATGAGTGTTTTAACTTAAGACTTTCACAGTTTCAAGGACAAAATGATGCAAGCAATACATTTAAGTACCTCTCAGCAAGCCCTTCCTCTCTCAGAACATCTAGTGATGCAACAGCAATCGCACTTGCCAATGGATTTCCACCAAAAGTACTGAAAATGAATAATAGTGATAATGCTTATTAGAAATGAAGAAAATGACATACTCACCAGATATATACAAAAAATAAAAAAAAAATAAAAAATATATAAAAAAAAAAGAGAGAATATTCGAATTACATGAGAAATGATTAATTTTTCTGTTCATTAAGCATAGCATTGATCAGTGGGCTTTGACTGGGGTATAAAGTGAACGATGTACCAACAGTCCACTTGTATCCATATTAAAAGGTAAATAAATCCTAGTAAGCCACTAAGCCATATAAATACACATCAACAAATTATAAAGATCGCGCTCTACTTGCAAACAAACAATATATTCCATATCAATAAATTCCAGTGCATTTCAACATTTCAAATGTTTTTTCAAAAGGCTTGTTTAAAAAAAATAAAATCAAAAATAAAAATAAAAAATCAAAAGGCAGTAATTGTGAGTGTTAATGCAGGAAAGTTTAGGGTATATTCAATTTAAGCCGTGAGACAAATGGAACAGAAATCATATTGTATGATGAGCATCATAGAAATACAAACCTCCCATGTTCTCCAGGTCGAATACACAGCATCACATCTTTGTCAGCAAGAACAGCACTGACAGGCATTACTCCACCTCCCAAAGCTTTTCCAAGGATCTACAGGCAAATAATAAGGAAAATTTTCAAAGGCATACTTCCGAAGATTGTAAGCTGTACTAATTTTACAGTGACAGTAAAATCAAAGTTTGTAGAATCATAATAGGAGAGAGAAGAAAAAGATACTCCTTTTAATCCTAAATGTTCATGCCATTGTGACTTTGCATGTTTGTCAATGCATTACTTGGACCATAAATATCTACAGTTGCATAAAAAGAAAAAAATAATAGTTTAATATTAATAAACTACTCAATAAAACGAATCAAATAAGACCCAACATGACTATGTTATGTTTATATTGAGAGTAATTTAGATAATGCTCTCAACTTATAAATAGTGTCGAGATTCTAAATAGGAAGAACAAAAAGGATTCAAAGGAGCATAAAAGGAGAACCAAGAGTCTTTATTGTACCAAATTAATGGAAATATCAACTCCAATTATCCTTCTATTTGAGGCCTTCACAAAATTTTCCTAAATCTTCACTCGGTCAAATTAAATTTAACAATGGGGCAACCTTTTCAAAACAAAATCTTAACGTTGCTAGAGTGTTGGGCTGGTTAAAAATAATAATAATGTGTCATGTGCTAATTGGTCATCAAAAATTTTGTTTTACTCAGTAATTTTTTATGACAATATATTCATACCTCTCGATCTTCACAACCAATTGGTCTAATGATATATACCAAACAGAAGTAGAAGAAACTGCTTACAAAATCATATGATGGAATTTACATTTTAATCATTTTTCTACGCACAAAATTCCTCCTTCAATTTATTTTTTCTGCCTAAGGTGCAGAAGCTCTAAAATGCCATGTTTGGTATGCTTCACAAACACAAAATGAAAAATACAGATGGATCCTTATTGATGACATTATGATTGATTCTCCCCTCTCCAGACTTCCCAATAAAATGCAACAAACATTAAAGATGCTAATTCACACAAAAATAGTCTTACAACAAGATCTGGACGAACACCTTCCCAGTCACAAGCCAGCATTTTTCCAGATCTTCCAAGGCCAGATTGAATTTCATCAGCAATCATCAATATTCCATATTTTGTGCACAGATCCCTGACAGCTTTTAAATAACCTTCTTTAGGAACTATAACCTGCAAAGATGAAAAAGTTCTGTAAAAAAAAGATATGTTAATTAAGAAAAGAAACAAAAAACAAAATAGGACGATGAGTTCCGCTCAGGGAGACGTATATGAGAGAAAGGAGAAGTCCCTTTTCTTACATAAGATGAAGTTAGAAAATGTTTAGAAGCCAGCATGAACACAACGAAGACTGAGGTCAGCCTTTTCTTTGATAAGGATACAAATTTTATTTAACAACAGCAATCAACAAATTGGAGCAATGGAGCCAAAGTTGGAATCTAGAGAGTTTAAGCTAAGTTGGAGTAAAACTGAATATTTGGTATGTCGCTTTGGTACTCAGAGGGGGACAAGCGATGATGTGGTAAGTTTGGATGGAAAGGACTTGACCATGAGTGAATGTTTTAAAAATCTTGAGTCGATCATCCAAAAAAATTGGTGACATTATCAAGACGTGACCCACAGGATTAAGTCAGGGTGGCTTAAATGGAGAGCGGCCACGAGAGTGTTATGTGACCGAATCATTCCCTTACAGTTGAAGGGAAAATTTTACAGGACTGCCATAAGACCAGTGTTGCTCTATGGTACAGAATGTTGGGCTTCTAAGAAGGAGCACATTAAAAAGATAGAGGTTACGGAAATGCACATGTTAAGGTGGATGTGCGGGAACACTCTAATAGATAGAATCAGAAATGAGTTTATTCGCAAGAAAGTGAGTGTGGTAGGCATTGCTGACAAACTAAGGGAAAATCCCCTACGTTGGTTTGGGCATGTAAGACGAAGACCCGAGGGTGCACCGGTTCAAAGAGTTGAAGAGTGGGACCATGGAGGGGTTAGACGAGGGAGGGGAGACCGAAAATGACTTGGTTGGAAGGACTTGAAGGATATGAAGTAAATGGATTTGCATGAGGATGAGGCATTGGATCATAAGGGATGGAGGAGGAAGATTTTTGTCGATGACTACACGAAATAATCACTTTTGGTTGATGTAGCCGACCCCACTTATGGGATTAAGGCTTTGATTGATTGATTGAACAACAACAAAAGAGTACCAAAAGTCCACCAAAAATCAAGGCCAAAGACAAAAAGAACTCCAACCTCTGAATACATTAGAAAAGGGCATACTGCTATAATCCTCATGTGAGTGCTCCCAAAAAAAAAAGCTAAATAAACCATTCCTCACATAAAGTAACCAACAAAGGCTTCCGATCTTGGATAATCCTAATAGTACCCTACCACAGTACCACCACATAATGGCCAAATGCATCCTGGCACAATAACTCTTGTTGCTTTCACCTTCCAAACTTCACATATGGTATCTGAACAATTTAAAAAAATTTAAACAAAACTAAGCAATTTTATGGAACCATGCAAAAACAAATGAGCTATTTCCCTTTTTGCTCTTAGATTTGTTCTGGTAGTTTGGGATTTCTCGTACAGCAAGCATGTATTGGCTAAACAGAAGTTTTTTAATGGCTAAAAAAATGCATGTGACCATGACCATGAAAATAACATACTTCCTCCGTCTCTTTTACTCACAACGTTTAACAACTTGCACTATTCACGTTCTCTCATTTGATCACCTTTATTGATTTACATGTTAGACAAAATAAAGTAATGTGGGAACTTGTTAGATTCGTCTCAATTTATATTTTCACAATATCTTATATTTTTTACTTATCTATAATTATAGATAAAAAGAAATGAATCATGTATTGGTAAGCGTGAAAGTCAAAACATTGTGTGGTAAAAGTGAACAGAGGAAGTATGAGTTTGTTTCATCTTTAGCAAGACTAGGAGTAGTAAAGAGCCTAACCTGATATCTGATTAATCAAGACTGACTTCGCTATAGGATGTGTTAAACATGATCCTTTGACGGTAAATCTATATTTTTTTTTCCATGACAACAACGGTGATTATAAAATATTTCGGCTCGATACCAAAAAAAAAAAAAAAATGAGGAAAAAGGTTGTACTTTCCTATATTCCCAATATAAATCCTACCAAAAAACTTAAGAACAAGAATGTTAATTTTAATGAATCTCCACTTAAAATTATTGGAAAAGAATCAAGCAACGTATCATTAGGGGCTTGTTATGAACACAGCATGCAAAGTGATCTTGGGAAGGTTATGGTGCATAAATTATTTATTTTGGTGATGAGGGGCATTGTGTTTATAAAATTTATTTTCTAATTTAATTTAATATTTAAATTATATACTCCCTTTTGTTTTTTAAGGTTACACCTGGTTATATCATCAGTTCTATTTAAGTGTTACACTTCTATCTACAGTAAAATACAACATTTATATATTCTATCTCACTCCTCTCATGATTCGCCCTTTTACTTAATTTTATTGCTTCTATACTCTTACATTTATTACATTTGAATAACAATTAACTCAATTACTCTGGTGCTTTGTTTAACAATGGGTGTCGTGTGTCGACATAAGACAGCTCCACAGCTCCAAAAAAATGTCAAAGTCAATAAGTTGTAGGAAAACAAGTGTCGATATCCTATTTTTTGACCCAAATTTTTAAAATGTAATTTTCAGATCTGGGGTTTAGATCAAAAACCTATAAACTGATTCATGAGTTGTAGGACACCTACAGACAATAAAACAATATGGCCACCAGTGGATTTTTAACACATGGTATAGATCACCGATCGGCATGTTCTGGAGGCCCGTTGTGGTGGCCAAGTGTGGGACAGTGGTAAGAACGCAAGAATACAGGATCCTTAACCCTTTCCTATTTGTCAATAAATTTATAATTTATTGTTTTTAGAAAGAGGAAAAGGAATTAAAAAGTAAAAGCCCCACTTAAATTCTTCAGTTACCACCTTTCTATTTCTCCAACTTCTGCCACATAGGATTCACTGCTTAGATCTGAATACCTTCACCTAGATCTCCCTCCCTTCTTGTTTATTATAGGGCTGTTTTTGCTGACTTCGGGTTAGAATAGGTAGTTGTTACCCGGGTGTAAACTGGTGTATCCATACCAAATTTTATACCGGGATCCGTGTCGGGGTTATCGACCTGGATATGAGGCATTTTTCAGAGTCCGAGTAACACAGCTCGTGACCCACCCAACCCATTTAAACCCATTGAAAAAGCAACCCACTAATGACCCTACTTGATACAACTCTGACCCAACCCTCCCAAGCTAGATGTATTTCCAATCAAAGTGATATTTCGGAAATCAAATTCCCAAAACTGAGGTCTCCCTCCACTTTAGGTCTACAATGCATAATTCCATCTTACAAGGGAATCCCTCTTCTCCTTACCAAAATCAAGCCCAGACTACATCCCTTAGAAGTCTCTCCAATCTCTTGGAGAGTAAAAGAGCATGAGAATGCACCTCAAGCTTATAAAGATAGAAATAAAAGAAGAAGATGCTTAATACCACAACAAAAAATAAAGTTTCCTCAAAAATCCGAATAAAACCACATTAAGATTAATACAAAAGTAAGCACTCAAACAACAAAACGAACTTAGAGTAGTCTTAAGAATCAAACCCAGTAGTTAAATGGGCGATCTTACCCCTGCCTCCCCTTGAATGGGTTCGAATAAGAATCCAGCAATATTATCTCCATGCTCTGTGGTCCGCATAACAAGAAAGATTCAGACAAAATATAACATTGAAAAAGTCATCTGATTCTAGATCCAGTAAACAAGAATATCAACTTTAAGATTTTATATTCAACAACCAGACTTTCAAGGTAAAGTGTGACATGCTCATACAATATATAGCACATAAATGATGCAATAAGGTTGTAAACCCTCAGCTGGTAACAGAAGTGACTCAGGTGAGACAAATTATTCAAGTAAACCCATCAAGCAGGGCCACCTTAAATGCTTTCAGATTTTATCAAAAAACAGGTCAGGAAATATTGCTTCACGATGAAGAATGTTCATCCTCGACTTGAAACCCTATGGTTCAACAAATTAATCAAATAAGTCAATAGCACCTTTCCAATACTTTTCTTCAACAACTTTGAATGATACTTAAAACAACTATTACATAGTTGTACATGATTACAATTTTTTAATTATACTCTGCAAACAACAATCGAAAAAAGTGAACCTGTTATGGAAAACATTAAAATGATATTAAACTTGACATTGAATGATTCAAGGATACAAATTTGAGGTCGCAACAATATTGACAAGTCTAGACACAAACCCTAATATAGATAGAAATTAATGCACAATTCTTAGTTGAGGCACAGGTTCAGATTCCTCCAAATTCAAAGACAGCTCAAGTATCTATAAGACTAATCAGATTAAAGAAAAAAATTGAAACCATATCTGAGTGTACCATATTCCAGCAACATGGGCAAGCTTTAAATAAATGCATTCATACATTTAGAATAAAGATACTTCAAACCTTTAAATATTTTTTCAAGGGCAACTTCATCTCCAAAATCAACTTTGAGATGACCCGGCATCAAAGGACCAAAATTACGGGTTGCTTCATTGTCACAGCTCATTGAGATGACAGCTAGAGTGCGACCATGAAAGCAACCGCAACAAGAAACAATAATGGCCTGCGATTTAAAAAAAGTAGATTGAACTTTAAACTATACAATACAACAAGAATCCCAAAATAATGCAACATGACTAGGTTGGATAGCAAATGAGTTGTAGTAAGCTACAATTTCTCATGCTCAATTACATAGGATGATTGATTAAACATAAATGAGAGAATGAGACTTCCAAAATAAACCATACTCATCTAAACCAATGGTGCAATAGCCAGAATTGGAATCCTCAACCAAATGAAATATAAAAAACAGAGACACCATGGATATAAGATTAATCTCACCTCATTATTAGGAATCTTTTTTTTTTCATAACCCCACTTTCTGGCAAGCTTGAGAGCAGTTTCTACCCCTTCGGCCCCAGTATTCATTGGAAGCACCATATCATATCCAAACATACTAGTTATCATCTCGGCAAATACGGGAAACCTGTCATTGTAGAAAGCTCTAGAACTGAGAGTGAGCTTTTCTGCCTGCTCACTTAATGCCTTCATAATCTTAGGGTGACAATGTCCCTGCATGAAGAAAGGAAAAGTTAATCAACTTCATAAACAGTTTTCCTACTATTCAATTACCAAAAATATTAAAGAGGAGATGGGGAAAACAAGTAACCTAAAAATCAAAGTTTTGACAAGCTTAAATATCAAGGATAATCATACTCCGGGCACTGGAAGGCAACAAGTGAGTAGATTGTTTGGTAGATATGCAAAAACCAGGGATGGGCAGCGGCTCAAAATATACCTGGTTAACAGCAGAGTATGCAGACAGAAAGTCAAGATACTTGTTCCCCTCTGGATCCCATATTGAAGATCCTCTTGCTTGAGAAAAAACCATGGGAATTGGATGGTAACTGCATGTGAGCAATAAAAACCTATCAACAACAAAGTGTACCACTCTAGTACAAAGTAAGCATAATTTGCATTCCCTCTACATTATTCCCTTACAACAAAAGTGTTAGTGGGAGAAAAAAAAAAGGTGTGCACCTATATCACCACCCTCCCATGTCATTGTGCAACTCTATATATTTCAATCTTTCATACTACATATACATAGATGAGAATGTGAATAGGATTGGCTCTGGCATATTTCAAATCGTGGCATATTACGAGTTTACTGTTAGGTTTGGAATGTGTAGAGAGCGGTTCAAGGCATAAGGATGCATAGCTTTGGAGTTAAGTTGTGGGTTGTGCTAGGTACGAAGCAATGATGGATGGCAATGGGCTAACTTCAAATGAGCATATCTCAAAATCAAGAAATGATATTGAGATTATTCAAGTTGGAGGTGATAGCTTGTCTCAAGAGCTTTCCAACGACTAGTCATAAGCTCGCTTTGGACAAGAAACGAGAAAGTTCGCCCAAACCTAGAAAAGGTTTGCCAAAACTTAAAGGGAAAACTGACCCAAAGTCCATGGATAAATGTTTGCCGAACATTCGTAGAGGTTCGCCCGAACCATGGCTTGGTTTACCCAACATCTTGCCCCTGTTTTCTATGGTTTTGCAATTTAAGTGGCGTGACTTACTTATGGCAGTAGGATTGTTTTAATATGCCTTGCACTATTTATACTCATGGTTAGTATGTATAAGGGTGATGATGCAAAGAGAGAGCCTCAAATGTAAAATCCCTAACACTTATTTATGGCCATAGGATTGTTTAGTCTTTATTCGGGGTGGGAGCTTTCATGGTTCTTTGAAAGCTTATAAACTATATTGTTCTTTATCTCTATAGTGGATTGGAGGGTTTTTATCCCGATTCTCCGGCTTCCCAAGGTGAATTTTCCTTGTCTTGTTGTTTACTTGTTTTTCGTCTTCGTTATTGGTATTATCATTAATCACGTACAAGCTAGCTCAATTTGTTCTCCCTTTCATTTACAGGACAAAAAATTGACTAAAAAAGAATTTCAAATACACAATGTAGTAAATAAGGAAACATATTTTTAAAATTACACTTGAACATGCACTTTGTATCTCTAAACCATGTTTGTGAAGAAATCTTTCCATATTTGTAATAACTAAAATGTGAATTTAAATTTCTACTATGCTCTCTGTGTCGAGTAATCTCTATTATAATATAAATGCAACACTTTCTTCTAGGGAAAGTTAAAATTCTAAAAATATAACCTTTTTGCATGTGGGTTCTTAGATGTCTCACTTCTTCAATCTATCTCTTCAACATATGGGCCTTTTTTCTCTCTCTCTATTGGCTCCCGTCATCACAAGGGCTCCTTGACCACCATGCTTCACCCCCACCCCTCATGTTGAATTTATTTCAATACGAATTTCAAAATAAAGGCAGTATGTCAATGTGAGCTTCACAGAGAGATAATAATGGTAAAACGATGGATGTGCAATGCTTAAACACATGTTACAAAATGACATTTTGCATGAAGAACAAGCTGAAAATCCTATGCATACCTACGTTTAGATAACAGCACATTGTTAATGGGTAGGATAAGAAATGATAGGATTTTGTGCAATGTTTCCTCATGAGTGAATTTACTCATTTCTCTTTGCCTCCTATTTTATGAAGTTTGGTGGTTGTCCTCATGTTTAACAATAAATGATGCAAGCATAGTTTGCATGCATCATTTCCCATTCAAATTCTAGAGGATATTTGTTTGCAGGTAGATTTTCTCTAAAAAAAAAAAAAAAAAACCAAGAGAATTGTCAAAGCCTTATTCCTAATAGGACAAGGATTTTATTGATCATCAACAAAAATAATCCCTCCTTTCACTTCTATCTGATGTTATATTCTTCTCTATACAAAGTTCTTCATATAAGAATTTTCCATCCCTTTCTCTACAAGGACCCATTAAGTGGTACCAACAAGCCAAAGCTCCTATGTTTTCCAATTCCGGTTTATTGATCTTGGCTTTCATCAACTTTTTCTAGAATCTCCATAATCTTAAATATCCATCTTTCCTTACCAAAATATCTAATTACAATCAACAATATCATAATGTTTTAAATCTTTTCATAACAGCTCATATTTTTTTATTGATCAACCAGTAGCTTAATTTTTTCAAATCAATAGGGTACTAGACCACATGAAAAATTACTGTTACAAACAAGGAGGTTGTCAAGAACATACAAGAGGTGGGATGAAAATTGTAGGCCATATCTAATACAAATTGATACTTTCGAAAGCATACACAAGCAAACATTTTTTTCAACTACGTAGTAATTTCACATCAAAAGATAGCACAAACACTCAATCCAAAGGGATGATCCAATAAGTAGCCTAACTCCAATAATTTAACAGCTAAAACAAGTAAATGATGCGTTTCTTGATTCGTTTGGTCTTAGGTTTAAACAAGCTTCACTCGTTTGTTTTCGCCTAAGGGTTCTAAATCTGATTTCAAGGCTTCACTCACCTTAATATCGTGATTTAGGGGTTTTTTTGAGGATAGTTTGAATTAGCTTCACTCACTAATTAATCTAACCTCTCTTAAATCAGGTTTCATTCGCCTAATCTAAGGGTTTTTATGTTTAACTTCACTCTTCAAACACAAAGAAAACTTGGAAAGAAACGTTCCAAATTAACAAGCAATAAAGCTTTAATCAACAAAAACAAACTTGTATAATTCGAAGTTTACAACCTTTATTTATAGACTCAAAACTAATCCTAAACCTAATCAAATTAGAAGACTAATCCTAATTGAATTAGAATCCCATTTGACCTAGAAAACCTAAACTTGATCCCCAAGTTCCTAATTCGGATATGACTAAACTAACTAAGTTTAATTCAACTTAGATTAGATTATTCAATCCTCCTAAAACTCCTAGACACGCCTAAAAACCAAAGTCAAGTCCTAATGCACTTAGGAACTTACTTTGCTAAAAACAAGTCCTAATTCAAATAGGAACTCTCTTTTGCTAAAGACAAGTCCTAATTCAAATAGGAACTCACTAGACCAAAACAATTCCTAACCAAAATAGAAATCTTAACGCTTAAAACAAGAAAAACCCTTTCAAGTGAAAGGTAAAAACTTGTAAGCCAAAATCTAATCTAAGAAACATTAAAGAAACGGACCAAGAAAGGAAACCTTGAATGCTCCCGCATCAGTAAACAACTAACAAAACAAACTGTATGGCTGGTAAGATTGCAGTGTGCTAAGCTTGACCAGAAATATAGTTTCACACTTCCACATTTTCAAGTCATCACATAAAATCCATATGGAAATTGCATAAAACAAATATATTTTCCGATATTGATTATATCTGATGTCTCATATCTCTATCAATGTTTAAAGGAATACTCAAAAGTAAGTAACTCAATAACCATCAACAATCTCTCCAAAAAAAAAAAAAAAAAAAAAAAAAAACAAATTTAAAAAAAAATGAATAAATAAATAAAATATAAAATAAAGAAATTCAACAACCCAGAATGTTTTTTATAATTATCAACCAGAAACAGAAAAACCCCGAGAGAGGGAGAGAAAAAAAAAAAAAAAAAAAAAAAAAAAAAAAAAAAAAAAAAGTTCAATAAAATAAAATAGATAACTTGAAGAAAATATGAAGAAAAGCTTACTTATGAGCACTATATTGATCCTCTAAATTGATGAGATTTTGTGAAGAAGGAATTTTGGAATCAGGAACTGCAGCAAAACACCTAATTCCAAAACCTTTTCCAGTGGTTCGTCGAATTGGATGCTGCAAAAGTCTTTTGCTCGCCATTGAATACATTTGATAATTCAATCAAGCAGTAGATTATACGATCAAACTAAGAATTTCAATGATTTTGGATATTGAGGGTTCAGTTGTTTTGCTGGGAGTACATTTGATACACGAAATGTTATTTTGTTTTTGTTATTGTTAAAATGTGCCGTGGTTTCTTATTTGGGATTTTTTACGAAACTGAGCCTAATTGAAAAACAATTTACGAAAATAGACGCGTGGCAAAATTATTTACGAAACTGAGCTTTAGAGGAAAAACGCTGACTCGGTCAGCGTTTTATTTCTTTTTATTTTTTTTTTTAAATTTCGTATTTTAAAATGTCAAATTAAAAAAACATGAAATTCAATGAAACGTTGACTGAGGCAGCGTTTTAAGGTAGGTCCTAAAACGCTGCCTGAGGCAGCGTTTCATTAACAAGGGAAAGACGCTGCCTCAGTCAGCGGTTTTCGCTGGTATATTGCCACAGAAAACCGCGACATCACATTATTCACTCTACTTCAAACTCGCTGGTACATTGACTTGTGGCATCGACGGTTGGAGTTCGTCGTCACTGGTGACCCCATCCACGGCGTTATGGATCCATACGATCCATACATGGAGTGGTACATGCGGATTACACGGCGTTTCATCAACCCCAACTACACACCGCCATCCGCACACTACCATCCATCCTTTGACGTGATCAGGGGATATGTAAGTGTATTTGATTAACTTATTTTTATCAATTTTAAATTTGTATATCATTCAACTAACGCATCCTTAATTACTGCAGGTGTTGGATATGACGGCGATGGTTGACGCACTGTCGGACGTCCTTCCAGGCATACCTGAGCCGCCCAGAGCACAGGTCGAGCGGGTGCGAGATATGGGCATGGCTACCTTGCAGAGATATGGTCACGCCTATCTCGTCCACCCCCGGGACGATCATGGCGGCCACTCTAGTCACTCACAGTTCGAGGCTGGCCAGAGTAGCTGTGGGGGTGATCCTTCGTCATTCACGAGCGCAGAGGAGTACGACATTCGCAGTTCCGCGCCCCTACGTCATCCTGATGACCCATCTTCCAGCCAGCTGACTCCGCCAGTACGCCCGAACCCATTTACCACGGTCCGTCACTACAGCCGTCGTCAAAGGCCGAGAGTGGACATACAGGATAGAGAGCCGTTACACCAAATTGATGAGTCAGAATAGGATAGAATTATCTGATTTATTTGCTGTAATGACCTTCTCTAGTTTGTTGTACATAACACTTACATTACATTATTATTTTAATAATTATTTGAATGAATTTATGTCTTGTTTGAATTTCAAATTCCTTATTTGTCCACGTTTGACTCATTTTGTTCAAAATAAATTGTGGATGTGGAGGTGGTGGATGTGGAGGAGGATGGGTGGTGGAGGTGGTGGAGGTGGAGGAGGAGGGTGGTGGATGTGGAGGAGGATGGGTGGTGGAGGTGGTGGAGGTGGAGGAGGAGGGTGGTGGAGGTGTTGGAGGATGTGGAGGAGGAGGGTGATGGTGGTGGTGGATGTGGAGGAGAAGGGTGGTGGTGGTGGTGGTGGTGGATATGGAGGAGGAGGGTGATGGTGGTGGTGGATGTGGAGGAGGAGGGTGGTGGTGGTGGTGGATGTGGAGGAGGAGGGTGGTGGATGTGGTGGATTTGGAGGAGGAGGGTGGTGGATATGGAGGAGGAGGGTGGTGGTGGTGGTGGTGGATGTGGAGGAGGAGGGTGATGGTGGTGGTGGATGTGGAGGAGGAGGGTGGTGGATGTGGTGGATTTGGAGGAGGAGGGTGGTGGTGGTGGTGCATGTGGAGGAGGAGGGTGGTGGTGGTGGTGGAGGATGTGGAGGAGGAGGGTGGTGGAGGATGTGGAGGAGGAGGGTGGTGGTGTTGGTGGATGTGGAGAGGGTGGTGGATGTGGAAGGGGGCTGCACTGGCTGCTGTTGGGGGCCTGCTGTTGCTGCATTCAGCCAGCAGATAAAACGCTGACTGAGGCAGCGTTTTATGCTTAGGTGTAAAACGCTGACTCAGTCAGCGTTTTCTCTGTTATGGATACAAGACAAACGCTGACTGAGTCAGCGTTTTACTGTATTTTCAAATTTTTTTTTAAATTTGTATTTCACATAATACGAAATTTAATAAAAAAAATAATAACCAAAAGTAAAACGCTGACCGAGGCAACGTTTTATGTCAGAAGCTCAGTTTCGTAAATAGTTTGGCCACGCGTCTAGATTGGTAAATTGTTTGCCAATTAAGCTTACTTTCGTAAAAAATCCTCTTATTTGTTACAAAATGTGGTGACTGGTGACACACATAATTGTCAGCTTGTGTGCATTCCAATTTATGGTTATCTATCTCTATTTTATTCCCTCTATCCCATATAATGCCCATTACTAAATTCGCAGAGAAGAAAAAAAAAAAAAAAAAAAGAGGGTATTCTTCCGTTTTTAAATAATTGTTTTATTTCTCCATGCAGGTGTGTTAAGATAAAGTAATAAAATATGGAGGTAGTGGGTAGGTGGAAGAATAAAAAATTGTAAAAAAACAAAAATCGTTGAGGAGATTGAATTTGAAATTAATAAAATGTGATTTATGGCGGGTCCACTAGGTGAGAGAAATGAATTAAATATAGTAAAAGATTTCCAACCAAATAAGGAAATGGCGCAAGTACTTAAAAACGGCCGAAAATGGAAAGTGGAGCAAGTATTTTAAAACGGAGGGAGTATATTCTACAAAAATTAATCAATAAGAGTATGGTCAGGCGACCCTCAACAACATTTTAATTTGTTTTCAAGAAAAATAATTATAGCACTAACAGTATGGTCTAACGACCAACAACAGTGAGCCAATAGCACTTACAGAGTTAGCAATTAATGACACCCAATAAAATTCTCAAACCCGAACACTTTAAAAAGCACTATCTAATTATTACTTTTTTCTAAAGAAAGATATGTGCATACAATTAGGTCCATCTTCTCTCAAGACTACACACCTAATCTATTAGAGTTAAGAAAGTAGGAAAATTTAATTGGCAATCCGCCATTTAATAGCCCAAATAGAAGTTTAAATTTTAAAGTCATTTTCGTCGCATTAATCACATGTACCTCATGATCGATTGAGAAGGTTTTCCATTGCAAAGAGTTGCAAAGGAGCCGAGATTAACTTTGAATTCGCATAATTATGAATCAACGCAACTCTTAATTACAATAATTGAATAAGAAAATACACCTAGAAACATCGATGTGTGTATTGTGAGGTAGAGGGTAAGGTTGCATGGTAAATACATTACTAGCCTTAGAGCAAATTTGGTCCTTTTAACGCAACATACATAAAATTATCCAAGTATAAACTTGCAAAATACACTACAATACGGTTAATAACATTAAGATTTACAAGAGACACATTTTTTTTAAATGGTTAAAAGGACTTGGACGTTTAACCTTGCGGTCTTTTTAGTCCAGTATTTTCAAGTCAGGCACATGAGACTATGAGAGTAGAGGGAAAGTAAAGAAATCTCTACCCCAAATACCCTTACTTGTAGGATTCAAACTCCAAAACACTAGGATTTGAGATAAGAACTTACCAAGTGAGCCAACACATTGTTGCTGATTACAAAGAAAACATACTCAATGCTATACATAAAAAGTTATTTATTAGAGTAACTATGATGCTTGGGTAGAAAATACCAACATTGCTGTGTATAAAGCAAGGTTGTGAACTTTTCATTTTACTTGTATTTGCTACTAAGGCCAAAAAGCTTTGGTTTTATTGCTTTTGCTAGTACAGCTTTACAAGGTAAAAGAATGCACACTACTCATTTACTTACAGATCATAAAATGTAAATTTTACTTACAGTTGCATTAAAGAATTAACGGGTTCATGTCAATTTTATGAACACAATCTATCAAAAATCTACATGCACAATCTACCAAAAATTTACACTCTTTCTAATATTGACACTATTATTCTGGAGTCAAATCCCGGAACACCTCAAGTCTGTTCTTAGTCTTCATTGAGTCTTGTTGCGTCTGTTGGTTAGAAAACAAAGCTCGGCATGCAGACAATTGGTTGGATGCTACTGCGCCATCTTCATTAACAGTGACCGATTGGAATACTGTGCTCAACTCCTCAGGGGACTTAGCATCTACTGAGTATTGATGCATCTGCAACATCTCCTGTTCCTCTTCATCAGCCATATCAGCCCAGCTCTTCTGAGATTTAAAGCTTGATAAATCCCATAAAGCACTGTATGAATCCCTACCCTCATTTTCAGGACCAGAGGTTTTTGTTACTGACAAATTCTCTTTCCTGTCGACATCAGCTGTCATGTCCGAAACTTTTCTGTTTGGAGTAGAATCGATTGGCATATTTATCATATTCACAGTCCCCTGCTGGTCAGTTTCCGAGCATTTACTTCTCAAATCTTTGGTAGATTGAAAACCTGAATCTGCAGGGTTTTCGAATTGGAGTCTGCGAGGCAAGCAGCTTACTAGTTCATTCCTGTATGTTCCTTTTCTCCAATTCCCACTGTCATAGATTAAACTTTTCTTGGGCTGTGTGAAAGGACTCTTGGGGATTCCTCTTGCTGGAACAGATGGTGTGTACGCTCTCTTACAATTGAAACTAGCATCAAATGCAGCTGTGTCATAAACTGAACTTCCAATATTGCTTGTGGCAAAAGAATCCCTGGAGTTAGCTCCAGCTTTCAGATCAAGTTGATTATCTGAACCTCTTCTATTGCTGTTTCGGACATATTCATGTGGCTTTTTGTGAGGGCTAAATGCAAAGAATCTGGCATTTCCATAACAATTTTCCTTTTCTGCTTCACACGAAGATTCATCTGGTTGATTTTCAATTTCAGCCAACAGTCCAGATGCTCGCTCAAAGGACTTGGCATAGGACTCATCCATCAGCCCTTCAGGAGCTGAAGCACGGATGACTTGAAGAAGAAACTTAGCTTCAGCTATCCTGTTCATATACATCAAGCAGATGGCAAGATTGCACTGCTTGTTCCTGTCTGGCTCAATTGATAGAGCTTTCCTGGACAAGGTATATAAACAGTATTTAGGTACACCCAAACAAAAACATACTATGCAAAAGGCAGATGCAGAATTTTATATGCAATATTTTGCAGAAGCAACCTGTAATACTCCTCAGCAGTTTCATAATCATTTTTTTGTAAGTATGCCCAAGCCAAGTTCCCTAATAGCCTGTATAAGAAAGTTAAGGCATGTGGTAAGACAATGTATTGCAGAAATTGTTGGAGATGACAGCCCTATGCAGTTGTTATAATAATCTATTACATCTCACCTTGCATATTCCTGCTCAACTGTAATTTGAACCTTCTTGCCCTGAGATTTTCCCACTTTAACTCTCCTTCCCACAAAACGAAAGCCTTCTTCAACTCGCTTTAGCTTTTGCTGAAGAACCTCAATCTGCTCTTCTAGCCTTCCTGAGCGCTAAAACATGTGGAATTCATGCAGGCAATTTTAAAATAAAAACATTAAACATAAGCTGAGCTGAGGTCTCAAACAAATTAGAATTATATCATCATCAGTGTCAAACAAGGGCGCTTTCCTTTGGCTCAATTATACTTCTAGGATGCTGTTATGCTAAACATTCTTACCACATCAGTATTACTATTATCATCTGATATGTTACATTAGGCTATGAGTATAACACTTAAATGCAATGTTCTGATGATGTAATTTTAAGTACATTTCTATCAACACAAGATTATGCGACGGACAAATATACCAACAGCCTCTCATCCCAAGATACATTTTATAAAAAATTTATGGAAAGTAGCAGTTGATCTCTAGCTTTCATTAATTTAAGGGAAACAAGCAATATAGGCAGTACAAGCAGTTAAGCAAAATGATACTCCATAGCCCTTCATATATAGCTAACTAGCAATATAACACTATGTTACTCTACACTTATATTACATCAAATACCAAAGTTGGATCATCAAGTATGTACAGTGTTTGAAATGAATTCCGTAATCGAAATAACATAGGTATTACTTCAATAATGAGCATAAACATCATCCAAACAGACTAGAATCAAGAAAACAATTTGATTAAAGCAAATCAAGGGATTACCTTGTAGAGCTCCACTAAAACATTGTCTAGTGATTCTTGAGAATCAGATGAACAGAGATGGCGAAATGATTTGATCGCCTCGATGGCCTCATCCGACCTATCTAATTGCTTCATCACAACTGCCATGTCCTTCAAAGCACTATCTACACGATCACCAGCATTTATAGCATTCCAAAACATGGCTACTGCTCTATTTGGATTTTTCTCTATCAACTATGCACAAAAAACACGGAATACATAAATCAAATTGCCTAATTCACTCAGAAACACAATTAAGAACACTACTAACGCGTTAATTAAAAAATTAATGAATAACCCCAGAATATCAATTTAACTCAAATTAAGAAATACTCATTCAGATTATACTTTTTTAATAATTTCAATTAAGAAGCACAAATTCAGATAATAACCCAATTTAGTAATTTCAATAAATAAGCACAATTCCAGAAAATATCTCAAGAAAATGTGGTTTTTTTCTTTTGGAAAAAAAAAAATTAAAAACACAAGTAAAATCAAATTCAATAGCATAAATTCACAAGCAAAAAGCAATTCAAAAAAACCCAGAAGCAAATTTCTAAAAATAACACAAAAATTAAGAGGCGGCAATTCTCAATAAACCCTGAATTATCAAGAAACAGCAAGAAAAACAGAGAAAACTAAAATTTAACAGAAAAAACAAAGAAACTGTGATTATAATCGAATCGTTCATCTCTCTTAGTTAACTAGCACTATTACTCAAAGTAAATCCAACAATCAATTATTTCGCAAATACCCGTATTGGATTCTCGACACTTTGAAGAAATAAAGAAATACCTGAACGTGTTTGGCCTTGACATAAGGAGAATGACCAGAAGGAACTTTGTGAATGACATGAAAAAGATCAGAATTCTTCTTGGTTTGTTCTGACATCCATGATTTTGAAGATATTGAACTGCGTTTTGGAGGTGGAGTATAAAATCCCTGTAATTTATCGTCGCAATTATTACGGTCTTTCCACATTTTTTGCTATTTTATTGAAAGTATCGATTTCTTTTCTGAAGAATTGTTGATTTTTGCAGAGAAACTGGGTTGTTTCTGGAAAAATGGAAGGGGATTAATGGTGATTGAAAGAGGAAGAAGATAATGACTAGCCGTTAAGATTTGAAATTTTTAGTACATGGGCAATGTGAGCCTTTTCATGTGAGCCTTTTCATTACCCTTTTGTTTGACAAAGGATTAAACCAAATCACGCTTTTATTTGGTGAGCCAAAAAAATTAAGTAATAAAAGCAGTAGCAATATTATTATTGTTTTATTTCTAGCTAGTTTTCATTGTTTGTTTTATCGGGGCTTGCCTCTTAAAAAAAATTAAAAAACCAAACAAACTTGCATCGATTAGAATAGACTTTTATTGTAACTGTGATGTGTAATCTGGGTTAATCGGACGCTTCATTTTACCTTAAGTATTTGTGTTGGACCCTCAACACTTAAGCATGAATATTACATTTGGACCTTCATTTTAGTTCAAAATTAAAGAAAATTTTCACGATATAACCACACTTGGACATGTACTCATGTCGGACATGGGTACCCGAGTCCGAGTAACATAGTACATAACTCTTTCTTAGGTAGATACCTGGGAGTTTTATTTAACTCCCGATCTTTTTCGAAATATTTTTCAAGATCTGGTAATCAAAGTGGAACAAAAAATGAATAGTTGGTGTTCAAACACAGTGTCTAAAACTGGTAAGACTGTCCTTATTTAGAGTAATTTGGAGGCTCTATCTTCTTTTGCTATGTTTACAATTCGCCTACCAAAAACTATTACTAAATTCTCTTGATCAAATTAATAAAAAAATTCTGGAAACAATTGCCAAATAAATCAGGTATACCTATGATTTCATGAGACAATCTATATCAACCTAAATATTATGGTGGCTTAGGCCTCCGTAAAATTGAGGCGGTTAATTAACTTAGCCTTTTTAGCCAAACTAGGTTGGATAGTAATCTTTGGGTTCGTCCTGTTACTACTAAATATATCGGCACACAAAATCCTTTTTTGAGTATAGTCCTCAACCAAAAGACTATTGGATTTGGATAAAGATTCTTCAAATTCGCCCTCTTCTACTTCTTGGCCTTAAATGATAAATTGGTGATGGTACTAATGTTCTATGTTGGCTTGATAATTGGTGCTCTTCTTAAAATTTAATTACTATGCTTCCCTACCTTTTAAAAAGTATGAGAAAACACTTATGAATAGTGTGAGAACAATTATATCCTTAAAAATGTTTGTTTACCTATATGCCCCTATTAATATGTTAATTTCATTTAAGTTTTTTCTTGTGTGGTTTAATGATTTAACTCTTATGAATAGTGTTCGGACAATTATACCCTTAAAATATTTATTTACTTATTTGCCCTCATTAATTTTAATTGCATTTTTTTGGACATGTATACCCCTAAAAATATTTGTTTACACATTTTCCGTCATTAATGTTGCCAACAACTAAAAGAGCTTTTTAAATATGGCTAACTATGACGTGCGCGTTAGCCACCCTAGTAATTTAGAAATTTCGAATATCCAAATCCTATATCTAATTGTTGATACTTTTATTTTGGAAAATAACCAATGGGATATTTCTGCTTTGTCTCTTTATGTTCTGTCTAATATTGTCCATCTTATTAGAGGAATCTCACTTCCCTCTTCTTTTATTCAAAATTAGCCTCGTTGGGGTTTCTCTAACACTGGTGATTTTACTGTCAAATCAGCTACTTGGCTTGCTCATAATATCTCTTCTCATACTAAATGGCAATTGTCTGGATTCGAAAACTATCCATATCTCCAAAATTGAAAATTTTTGTTTGGCTACTTCTTTATAATGCTCTACCTACTAGGGCTAATCTTGCTCATCATCAGTTATATATTTCTTCTATATGCCCCCTTTGTAATTGTCAAGCTGAAACTCAAGATCATCTTTTCCTATCTTGTTCTTACACTTCTCAATTTTGGAATGCTGATGCTTTTGTTTGTTTTTATTTTGCTTTACAGTTTTGAAGGGTAATTTCTCTATATCTTTAAAAAAGGGTATTACTTCTTTGTGGAGTACCATGTGGAAAACTAGAAATTCAGTGATATTTAATGAAAATGTTTTCTCTCATATTTACTTATTGACTCGATGTATATTTATTGAAGGTAATTTATTTCTAAGGAATTGGCTCGATGTATATTTATTGAAGGTAATTTCCTCATTTTTCTTGTTAGACTAGTTGAGCCATCGTGCGCAATACGCGCAATAGCCCAATGATGTAATATTAAGTGTCGGTAGTATGTAGCATAAGTGAATGTGTAATACTAATTGTTGTATTTATTGTTATGGAGTAGAAATTATTGATGGAAAATGTTAGAATAATAAGGTGTTTTGTAATTTAGTATAGAAATATTATTATTCGTGTTGTCTAAAAGTGTATTAATATTGTATACAATTACCTCACCCCTATAAAAATTACTCACCCAGAAAAGTAGCAGTTTTATCAGTAATCATATAAATCAAAACTCTTTATAGAAGATTGAGTAATCAGAAGGCCATAAACTAAGCAACAATTATTTATAATGTTATGTGTAATGCTAAAATGAATGTATATTGTTTAGCCTGGATTTACTTGTAATATATCATCAAAGAAAACGACACACGACCATCAATCTCAGACAAAAATAACTTATAAGTTTGGAAGTAGATAGAATGTATAAGAAAATTGTTGTAATATATTGAAGTAGATAGAATAAAATTTAAACCTTGCCAACCGTGTCAATGTTGCTTTGATGTTTATGTCTTTCATAGGGTTGATTGATGTCAATTATAATTCGTTTGTGATTTAAGAAGGTTAAGTTTGTTTAAAATCTTTAGTTGAGGTTTACTCCCTCCGTTTTTAAATACTTGCTCCATTTCTCCATGTGCGGAATTTTAGGAGAAATTGGATAAAGTAATAAAATATGGAGGTAGTGGGTAGGTGAAAGAATAAAAAATTGTAAAAAGCAAAAATAGTTGAGAGAATTGGAGGAGAAAGAATATGAAATTAATAAAATATGATTTATGTTGGGTCTACTAGTTGAGATAAATGAATTAAATATTGTAAAAATTTTCCAAATAAAAAAAAGGAACAAGAATTTAAAAATGGCAGAAAATGAAAAGTGGAGCAAGTATTTAAAAACGGAGGGAGTATATGGCTTCTATTGCTAAATTAATGGAAGAAATAATATTAATAGTATTATTGGTAATAGTAAAAAGAATAATAATTATAATAATTAGTATTATTATTCTAATCATCATAATAAGACAAAATTGGCCACAACACCCTGAATTATGGCTTAAGTGCACTGAGCCCCCTGAACTATGTGTAATAGCCAAAACACCACCAACTATGGTATTAGGTGCGACACGTGCCTTAAATGAAAATTTTCGGCCACTTATTTCATCAGAGGAGGTGAATCCATGGGTGATAAATAGATGAAAGACTACATAATTGCTCTAGAGAGTGAAAAATTCACCTCCCGGTGAAATAAGTTGCCGGAAATTTTCATTTATGGCATGTGTTGCTCCTAACACCATAGTTGGTGGTGTTTTGGCTATTACGCAAAGTTTAGGGTGATCATTGCACCTAAGCCATACTTCAGGGTGTTACGACCAATTTTGCCTAATAATAATAATGTTTAATGTATAATCAATCATTTAAAATGGGTTAGATAAACTAATGTTAATAATAAGGAAAAATACACTTTAATAATTCCAACTATTGACGATTTACTTCTAATAATCCCAACTAAGGTTTATTATCAAATAATAATCTCAACGATACTATGAATTTGTCTCCAATGATCCCAATGATACTATGTTTTGGCTACTACGCAAAGTTTAGGGTAATTTGCTAAAGGGGTAATTTTTGTTTTTTTTGTTTTTTTAAAGCTATGTGTCAGCGCGTGATTGGTCTAAATTAAAAAAAAAATTAAAAAAGTAAAACAAAAAAAAAAAAAAACCAAAAACCACCGGCCACAATCCACCCCACCACCCAAATCAGTATCCTACACCACATCAACCCCTAACCTACGCCGCAACTCCACCAACAACAACACACAACCAGCCACACACCTTCTCTCCACCACCGCAACAATTGAGAACGTACCAGCCCCAGCCACCCTCGCACCACAAGCTGCGAACTTACCACACCCAGACGCTCCAAACACCGCATCTCGCAACCACCAATTCGCTGCTGCCCCTAACCTCACTCTCCGCACCAACAGCATCAACTCCCTGCTGCCCCTAACCTCACTCACCGCACCAACCCACGCAACCCCTCAACATCACCGACCACAACAACCTCCAAAACGCCACCACCAACCCAAATTTCAGCAGCAAACGAATACCAATTCGCTACTCAACACACCGACAGGACACTTTCCGCCGCCGTTGCCAGTTCGCCGAAGTTTTCTCCACTGACTGTGCTGATTTTGCCGTTGTCTGCTAATTGATGTACTCCGGAAGATTTCTGCCGCTGATTGTTATGTTCGTCGCGGAAATTGGAGCGTTTCTGGTTCATATCAGTTGGGTAATCGGGTAAATCGCTGCAATTGTGGAGTGCGGAAGGGGATTGCAGGTGGTTGATTGCGGTTGGGTTGGTTTTAGGGGTTGGGCTAAGGGTTATACGGTGGGGGAAGGGGAGAGGGGGGTGATTGGGGTGTTTGGGTTTTCTTATTTTTAATTTTTTTTTATCCTATTTTTTTAATTTATTAATTTTGGTCCAATTACGTGTCGACACGTATTATGATTACATGTTATAACATGTTGTTGACTGGTTGGGACTGTTGGAGGCAAACTCATAACATAGTTGTAATTATTAGATAATAAACCTTAGCTGAGATTATTAGAAGTAAATCGCCAATAGTTGAGTTTATTAAAGTGTATTTTTTCTAATAATAAAGTCAATTCATGTTAGCTTCCCCCTTATCCTTTTATCACTTGTCTTAAAAAATTTCATATCTATTCTTCTCTCATTGTTGTTGTGTATTCTCTATTTTCCTAAGCTGATTGCTCTATTTTTCTCAAGTGATCTTTCTTAAGTGGCCTCTCTCTCTCTATCACTCCCTCTCCCTCTCTCTCATTTTAGCAAGCCTTTACCTAAGCTAATTGCCGTAATTTTCTTAAGTGATCTTT